ACAAGATTTTTTTTACAATTTACAAGATTTCCAAGAAAAGAAGTCTGAAAAATAAAAGAAAAGTTTACAAACCCTAAATCTGTTGAATTATTTGGTCAATAAGAACATTGAGTTCTGTGATTTCTGTCTCTGAGAATCCCATTGTACAAAGCCATCCGGTTCGCTGGCATCGTGGAGATTCTACAAACCGAACCGGACTTTCCCGGTTTAATCACTGGTTCCGGTAAGGTTCTCCGGTTCAACTCCCTCCTCCGGTACTCATTCCCGTTCCCTTTCGTCTCTTTCACATTCTCCGCGAATCGCACTCTCTTCTTCTTCCTCTGTTTCTTCGTTTGCTCTGCATCGCAAGAAAACATATTTTCTCAGGAAAATCAACCAGAAACTTTCGACTTTCGTGCCCCAGAGAAACAAGATCGTACCTGAAGAGCGAAGGATTGGTTTTGGAGCCTGATCATGAATCTTAGAGGTTTGGTTTCCATGGAACTGACGAGTCATCGCAAGAAACAGAGCAGTGCTTGAGAAAACCATGGCGGTAGCGATCGCGACGGTGCCATTAGAACAACCCAACATACAAGACATGTGTTCTTGAAGTTTCTTTAAAACTCAGAAAGAAAGGAGAATTCGCAGGAAAAACTCTTGAAAATTTTGGGCTTGAGCTGATTTGATGATTTTTTTGTGAAGAGAGACGTCTGTGTGTGTGTGTTTTTGAAGAGACTTGGTCAGACTTTTGTAACTTAACAAACTGTTGAAATTATATGGTAGGATTTCTTCTCTTGACTCTCTTCTATATTTATACAAATATTATAAAGAAGCGTGAATTTTTTTTAAGAAGAAGAAAAGAAAATATATAAAAGTTGAAAAAAGAAGAGTGCGAGTTAGATTGCACATATCCTAGTGGGAAAACGGAAAATAATGTATAAACGAAATTTAATTACAATAAGGCCGTGTTGTAATGAAAAATATAGTATAAGACTGCTTTTGGTCAATAAATAATTTGCATTTTACTGACTGATGTCTATAAAATTCACTCTGAATAAAAAAAAAAGTCCAACAATATCACATGTACAATGTAGAGAATTTGGCATCAATAACCAAACAAAAAATTATAATTGGCAGTCTAACCAAAAACCTCCTATGTGGCAAAATCATAGCCATAGATCTAAAGCTTTTGGTTAGATTATCAATTATAATTTTGTTTTGGTTATTACACAAATTAGCCAGAGAATTTGGCATCAATAACCAAACAACTCATTATCTTGTATCTCTATTATTACTCAGATATATATGTATACATATTTAACAAGGATAAAAAGAGAGGCAAGTGTAGTAATGAGAATTATTGGAAGGTCGTGTATTAGCTTGTTGGATCAATGTCAACCACCGACCTGTTGGTCTAACCCAGGCTGGTCTAACCTATCTGTCAGACATGGAATGAATCTAGCATTTTGTTAAAA